ACACTTCAACTCTTCCCATAGAGTTCTTCCTCCATTGAAGGACTGCTTCTGGTTGTACCATAAGTTCCCAATCATCATTCAACATGGGTGGCAAAGGTTGTACCGTAGTAGTAGGTGAGATGGCTTTCTTTAAAAGGGACACGTGGAAGACGTTATGGACTTTGCAGTCCTCAGGCAGCAGCAGCTTGTAAGCTATAGCTCCAATTCGATCCACTATCTCATAAGGCCCATAAAACCGGGGACTTAGTTTCTCATTGAGCTTCTGTGCCAGTAAACGTAATCTGTATGGTTGAAGTTTGAGGTAGACCCTGTCGTGTACTTGAAGCTCTACATCTCGTCTGTGAAGATCTGATTGTGTCTTCATTCTATTCTGAGCAACCACAAGGTGTTGTTGTAACTCCTGCAAAATCAGATCTCTATCTTGCAGCATTGTGGACACCTCATCTACAGGGGAAATAGCAAAGCTAGATCGGAATAGTGTGGGTGGTTCATAGCCATATAATGCCTTGAAGGGGCTGGTACCCGTAGCACTTTTGAAGGTGGTATTGTACCAAAATTCTGCCCAATGAACCAAGAAGGCCATGTTTTGGGTTTTGGTGAGCAGAAGCACCTTAGATAATCTTCCAAACAACGGTTCACCACCTCAGTCTGTCCATTGGATTGTGGATGATAAGAGGTGTTGTACTTTAATTGAGTGCACTACAGCGAAACAACTCAGACCAGAATGCACTAAGGAAAACCTTATCCCTGTCACTTACAATGGATGTTGGGAATCCATGTAATTTGACTACTTCTTTAATGAACAATAAAGCAACTACCTTGGCCGTATATGGATGCTTGAGAGGAACAAAATGGGCATACTTTGTAAGGCGATCCACCACCACAAAAATTGTGTCAAAGCCTTGAGCCTTGGGTAAACCACCTATGAAGTCCATAGACAAGTCAGACCAGGTTTTTGTAGGAATGGGTAAGGGCTGTAAAAGTCCAGCCGGAGACAACGTGGAAAAACGTGGAAACTTTATTCTGTTGACACACGTAACAATCTGCCACATAGTCCTTAATTCTTTTGCGCATGCCCTCCCAATACACTAGACTATTGACCCTCTTCAGTGTTCGGAGAAAACCAGAATGCCCACCCATATGAGAGTCATGGAACTCGTGTAGCACCAATGGAATAAAATTAGAGTTCCTTGCTAATAATAACTGTCCCTGATGATACAGACGCCCACCCTGTAAGCTGAATCCCTGATGAGCTTGTGGATTGATTATCAAATCTTGAATGATCATCCCCTGCATTCTGACATCAGCATGTAACTCTTGTTCCACTGCTTCGTATTTGTTGGCATCCACACACGAGAGGGAAAAAAACTGCAAGTTACGAGACAAGGCATCAGCAACCTTGTTCTCTTTTCCCGGCTGATACTGAATTTCGAAGTCAAATCCAAGGAGTTTAGAGACCCACTTTTGTTGCTCTTCCCCCAAAAGGCGCTGGTCAGTGAGGAACTTCAAGCTCTTTTGGTCGGTTTTGATGATAAAGTGACGACCCAATAGATATGGTCTCCATTTTTGGACAGCAAACACAATTGCCATCAATTCCTTTTCATACACTGTTTTTTCCAAGGCCCGAGGAGAGAACGCTTGGCTGATGTAACTAATTGGACGATCCTCTTGGGTAAGGACTGCTCCTATTCCCTTGCCAGAAGCGTCTGTAATAACAATGAATGGTTTGTCAAAATTGGGCATTGCTAGGACGGGGACGGAGCACATGGTTGACTTCAATATTTCAAAGGCTGCTTGAGCTTCTTGACTCCAGAGGAAGGCGTCCTTTTTTAGCAAATCAGTAAGTGGTTTTGCTATTTTGCCATATCCTTCAACAAACTTCCGATAATAGCCTGTTAACCCCAAGAAACCTCTCAGCCCTTTCAAGTTTTTTGGACTAGGCCACTGAGACATAGCTGCAATCTTGGAAGGATCTGCTTTCACACCCTCTATGGAAATTATATGGCCCAGGTATTCGATTTGTTGTCGCCCAAAACTACATTTCTTTTTATTTGCTACCAATTGATGCTGACGTAGAATATTCAGAACAGACCTGAGATGCTTTAAATGCTCATCCTTACTGCGACTGTAGACAAGAATATCATCAAAGAACACCAGTACAAAATTGCGTAAATGAGACCTCAATATCTCATTCATCAGGGATTGGAAGGTGGATGGAGCATTTTTGAGCCCAAAAGGCATCACTAAGTACTCATAGTGGCCTTCATGGGTCCTGAAAGCCGTTTTGGGAATGTCTTCTTCTCTCATGCGTATCTGGTGATATTCGGATTTGAGGTCCAATTTGGAATAAACGCTGGACCCTCCCAACTCATTCAGAAGCTCCTCAATAACTGGAATGGGAAACTTGTCAGGTACAATGAGCTTGTTGAGGGTCCTGTAATCCACGCATACTCTCCAGCTTCCATCCTTTTTCCTCACCAAAATTACTGGGCTCGAGTAAGGGCTGATACTAGGTTGTATCATCCCTGCATTAAGCAACTTAGAAACCAGAGATTCAATTAAAGACTTTTGATAATGAGGATACCTGTAAGGACGAATATTTGGTACCCCACTGCCAGGTTTAAGCTCGATGGCATGATCATGACGTCGGTGGGGAGGCAAGCTTTGAGGCTGTTGAAAAATGTCATCAAATTCTACCAACAGCTGAGAGAGTTCTCCCCAATTCTCCGGTACTGCTTCTGAGCTCCCTTGAACCCACTGAGGCTCAATCACACACCCGAGTCCCTCATCTTTTATGGTTTTCATCATTGACCGAAAAGAGGCCAGCGCACCTTTACGCGAAAGTGAAGGATCTCTGCGAAGAATCATCTTACTACCCTCAGCCTTAAACCTTAATGTCAACTTGTTGAAATCCGCTGTAATTTCCCCCAAACCCCTCAGCCACTCCATCCCAAGAATGACCTCTGCTCCTCCCAAGTCAAAAACGAACAAATCTTGCTTCGTCTGATACTCTTGAATTCGTAGGTCTACCTGACGGCACACTCCTTGACTTCCCACCTTGTGACCATCTCCCAACTCAACCTTAAAGCTGTATGAGTCTTCAATGGACAACCCCAATTTTTCTGCCATGTGTCGATTGACAAAGTTGTGGGTGGCACCACAGTCAACAAGCATCGTTACCTTCTCACTCTTCACCGATCCCCACAACTGCATACTTTGGTTCGAAGAGAGCCCTAGGATACTGTAGACTGACAGCTGCAAAGTATCCGTTCCGATCGGTTGCTCCTCCTCAACTCTCATCTCTTCATTTGTGGCTACCGACATATCGTTCGCTTCGTCATCTTCTTCGACAACCAGCAGCTGTAGCTACGCATTCCGGCAACAATGGGTACGATCCCACCTTTCTCCACACTTGAAGCAAAGTCCGCGGCGGCTCCGGTCATGCAACTCGGCTTGGCTGAGTCGTCCACCTCCTCTAACACTGTTGCTTCCAGAAGCTTCTTGTGTTCTAGGGTCTCCTACAGCCCCAGCGTTATTAGAACGCATAAGATTGCCTTGTCCAAAATGCATGTCGTTTTGGTTTGTTACTGATGCACGTGTCTCACCACTAGCTGTGTGGGTAGCGTTTGTGGCTGAGCTTTTGGCGTGTGGGCCATAAAAAATCCCTTCGTGGGCTGATTCGAGCGGCCCAATCCACTTCCCTTACCAACCCACAGCGTTCCAAGCCCATCCGTCAACCAAGATTCATTCCGTCTCTCCAAGCTTATCGTCTTCCTCATCAGGTCCGATAAGGAATCAATGTTGCTCTGCAGCAACTCCGTTCGAAGGCTGCTACTAACTCCATGTAGCCAAATTTCCTTGAGCACGGTTTCATCAGCGTAGTGAATGGGGCTGATTATTCTTTCAAACTCAGACCTATAATCAGCTACACTACTCGTTTGTTTCAAGCTCATCAGTTCTTGATAGGGACTTCCAGTCAACTCCAGTTGAAACCGATCCATGACGTCCGTTCTGAATCCCTCCCAAGAATCGTTTGGATTACTACGCTCCCATACGAAGAACCAGTTTAGAGCAGCCCCATCGAGGACGACCATAACCGCATCCAACTTCATGCGTTCAGGGATCTCGTTAACCAAGAAATAACGCTCGACCCTGGACACCCACGCGAACACATCGTCACCAGAGAACCTGGGGGGCTCCAACCTGGTTTGAAGTGAGATTCCACCCCCATGTCTTTCGGCCAATGGATTTCGCCATTCTGATTCAGTTGAATCAGTACTCCTCCGACGCGAACGACCACAGCGAGGACTGGACTCCTTGTTGGGTCTTTCTCGATTGCGCGTGTTTCGTTGCAGCAAGGCCAAGATCTCATTTAACCTTTGCTCGCTTCTGTCGTGACGTTCATCGGCCACCGTCTCTATCCTTCGGAGACGCTCCTCAACAATTTCCAAACGGTTATCCATGTTGCGAGTAAGAACCATTCAAAGCACCCCAAGGATCGGAGTGCTCTGATACCAGTTGATAAGACTAGCAATATAATCAGAGAAATAAACACAGCAACACAAGGATTTTTTGGCCCAGTAACCTGGATTTTCTTATATTTATATCAGAAGAGTAAATTCAACTACAAACAACTTTAGTCTATAATGCATAAAAGGAGAAACTACAAATCTGTCACAAGTAAATTCAGTGCAATTATAGAGGCACTGATCTCTCCCAAGAACTCCCAAAATGCCAGCCTCCTCTACCCTTTGTGCGTTCTGTTTATATAACCAACAATAGGGTCTATTTCCACGTCAGCAGCAGCATGCTCCTCACTAACAGAATGCCTACAGAATTCCCTTTGGCAGCATTATTCCCATCTCTCTCCTCTGAGTCAGCAATAGTATGTGATCCCTTGTAACGTTTTCTGCTGTACACCCTCATAGTAGTCTTATCAGTTTGCTTTTGAGAAAGATAAAATTCATGTCACGGATGTGGATGTTTTGGTGAAGGATCATATGAGGGCTGTACCAAACCTGCAAGCATATTTTGGTCGTGTTCGATTTTGCATCATTGATATTCCAATGCGGATTCAACCAATGCTTCCTGTGGCATCAGAATGGCATAAGCTAGTGGATGAAACTGGGACACAGGTTGGTCTTGGAGATATCAAGTTATCTGTGTGGATAGATGAATGTTTTCCTGATGCTTGGTTTTCAAATGCCACAAGAATGAGCGGTGATGCTGTTGCTTATACTCGTCACAAGTTATATACATCACCAAAGCTTTGTTATCTCAAAGTCCATGTGATTCAAGCACAGGACTTGTTGCTGAGACCTGACATTTTGAGTTCAGAAATTTTTGTCCAAGTTGATTTGGGAAGCGTGCGTGTGAGAACAAGTCTTTCTAAAAACATGGGTGCAAGTGCAATTTGGAACGAGGATTTGTTGCTTGTTGCACAAGAACCTTTTCTTGACACTCTTGTCATGAGCGTTGAGCAGGGGACATTGGACGAGCATGTAAGCTTGGGATGGCATAGGCTTCGATTGACAAGCGTGGTTAAGAGAACAGGTGTTGGTAAATTGGACATGGAATGGTATAATCTTGATAGGCCTGGAGTCATTGAGACTGCAAGGGAGGTTAAGTTTGCTAGTAAGATTAATGCAAAGATCTCTTTGGATGGTGGCTATCATGTAATGGATGAGCCTATTCATTATAGTAGTGATTTTAGGCCTTCGTCAGAGATACTTCAGGAACCAGAAATTGGAGTTTTGGAACTGGCGATCCTAAAGGCAACTGATTTGGTGCCAATGAAGATGCAAACCAGAACAGATGCATATTGTGTTGCTAAATATGGCCCAAAATGGGTTCGAACAAGGACAGTTGTTGATAGCCTTTCACCAAAGTGGAATGAGCAATATGTTTGGAATGTTTATGAGCCATGTACAGTTATTACTATTGGAGTTTTTGACAACAACCAGTTAGATGCTATCGATAGAGCTGGAGGAGCAAGTGATATTCTAATGGGTAAGATTAGAATTCGGCTATCAACACTTGCCCTTAACAAAGTCTATACAAATTCTTATCCCATTATAGGTTTGCACCCTTCAGGGGTGAAGAAGATGGGAGAAATCCATTTGGCAGTGAGGTTTTCTTCACTTGCTTCATATGGTATGCTTGTTGATATGTTAGTTGATATGGTTGATATGTTTAAAATCTACTTCAATCGACCTTTGTTTCCAAAACATCACTATGATTTCCAACTGTCTTCTGCCCAGATTGACAATTTAAGAAAACAAGCTGTTAATGTTATAGCATACAAGTTGAGCAATGGACAGATACCACCACTGAAAAAAGAGGTTGTGAATCTTATGCGGGATTTGAGGCCAGACATGTGGAGCATGAGAAAAGCAACAGCCAATTATAAAAGGGTCACGAGTCTTATTGGTGACTTTGCTGCCTTATGGAAATGGTTACAGGACGTACGAAATTGGAAGAATCCACTTGATACATTGTTTTTTAGCTTCTTGTGCTTCTCTGGCCAATGCCCATTTTTTCCTTTGTGTTTTTGGGCATTTTTTGTGTTGCGTTGAAGCGTTATCCCAAGAGGCCTAAGCAACCTTGTCATATTGATGCGCAATTGTCTGGTGCTGGTATAGCAACTCGTGAGGATCTAGAAGAAGAACTTGATACGTTTCCAACACAAATTGAAGGGGATGTACTAAAAGTGGCTAATGACTTTGCCACCATTGGAGAGATGTACCAATCACTGACTACTTTTACGGACCCAAGAGCTTCAACCATTTTTTTTGTATTTTGTCATTGTGTTTTAATTGCGATGTCTTGTGTTACTATTCGTGGGGTCCTCGCCGTCTCAATCCTATGGTTTCTAGTGGGTTCAAAAATCCAGAATTTGTTGGGTTTCAGGATCGGACTTGAGAATTTGATCACTAGGCTGCCCTCCAATCGAGCTTTTATACTTTGATGAGCTGAGAGGGCACATCTAGCATGGGATAATCTTTTTTAATTTGTTTGCTAGGTCCAGGGATCATTTAAATGCAAGGTTTTACAATTTTTGTCATGATTTCTCAACAGAACAATTATACCTTGTATTTTCAAATTTATTCTTCTGTTTCTTTTCTGATGTTCTTCAAATATATGGTATGCAAGTTTCCAGTTTACAACATCTGATTTGTTTGTCCCCCATATTTCAACATACAAAATTAGATCCTGGGCGTTGACCACACACCATTATCTAGTTGTTTGATTCATTTTTCATTCCCTTGAGGCAACAAACTATAAACTTGTTATTAAAGACTACTGCATTAGAGTACCCAAGAGAGGATAGTTAATTAATCTCTTTCGCAAACTCCATTCTCTCAATTTTTAATATGATTTAAATTTTGAACCTTAAAAGAAATCCAATTTGTAACCAACTATTCTGTAACTTGCATATCTTTGGAGATTATAAAAAATTTCTCTTTACCGAAAAAATAATTAAAATAAATTCTATTAGTAAGATTAAAAGTCCGTTTGTTTCGCCTTTTAGAAAAAGTAATTTTTATCTCTTTCTTATTTTAAAAGTGCTTTTTACAAAAGTTAAAACTATTTATATTTTTATAAAAATATTTAATTTTTGAAAAAAAATATTTGACTTTTGACTTCTGCATTTTTTATGAGTTTTTAGCAACTTTCCGGGAATTGGAGCGAGAAAGCTGCTACTAAGGGATTTCTTTTTTGCTACTAAACCGAAAGCGAAAATTTTTGGCTTCTAAAAAAAGTAAATTTTTGGCTTTATTGTGACTTTTTTTTTTAAATCAGACGTTCAAACAAACTTAAAAAGTGAGAAATACTTTTTTTTCTTAAAAAAAAAAAAGATTTTGAAGAAAAAAAATCCATCTAAACGGACCCTGAATAAAAATCATAAATTGATTAGTCCAACTAACACGGTTCGTAGTGACTATACGAAATAGAGGACTAGGCCCAAAGCCTCTAATTAATCAAGTTTCACCCCTAGACATGATGCAAAGATCAATATTACAAAGGGAAAAACATCTATTCTTTTAAAGGATATAAGCTTATATCATTTTAGATCATAACCGTTGATTTCCGTCCATCAACGGTTATAATCTATTGGATCAAACTTAATGGGCCAAAATTATTATTAATTAATTAATATTTTTTATCCAATAAATTATAATCGTTGATGGACGAAAATCAACAGTTAGGATCTAAAAGGATATAAACTTATATATTTTAAAACGACAGATGTTATTCCCTATAACAAAACTAAATGAAATATGGCCCAATCATAACCAAACCACACATCTATTAACTGTACAAGCTTACTTAGGGCCCATTTTGCATAGGTTTATGAAAAAAATATTTTTTATGCCTTGTTTATTTTAGAGGTGCTTTTTATAAAAGGTAAAAATTATTTGACTTTTGACTTCTGCTTTTTTTAAGCTAATATTTTAGTTTCCAAAAAAATAGGTTTTGACTTTTTTGTGTAGCTTCTACTTTTTGTAAAATCAAATATCTAAACGGAAAACGGAACGGACATTGCAGTAGAAGTGCTTTTTTTTTTTTGGAATTGAAAAAGTTTTTGGCTAAAAGAAATCTCATCCAAAGAGACCTTAGTTAAAATAAAAAAAGCTTTGAAATGAAAATGTTAATTCATTAGAAATTGGCCATTCCATTAAACAAACAAAAAATAATGCTTATTCCATTTTATTCAAGTTGGTTTCAATTATTTTATATTTTTTGTTGTTACAAATAATAAAACTTTGCTTTCATCGTTGTTCTCATTACTACTACTCTACTTAAATTCAAAATTTAGGAACTTCAATAAAAATAAAATAAAAAATTTGTATGAGTGAGTTAATCTTTGGTTGGAAGACATGGCTGGTGGCTAATATGAAAAGAAAGATATAGTAGGGACAAGGGGAGTTCAAGAGGAACAAGGAAGTGGAGAGAGGAGAACATAAAGGCAGTGGTGGGTTATACATATACTACAGTCCAAGTGCACTGTTGGGACAGCCCATGTCCTCGGTACACATAGGAATGGGCAACTCCTAATTATAAGTCAATGTCAACTTATATTTCAATCTTGTTCTTCCTCTAGACAGAAGGGACATGGTATTCAATGCCTTAAGGGGTCATGCCCTACTAATCGAGGAGAAAACTTTTGGTACAATATATGTAGGTACATCCATATTCAAAGAGAAGAAATTTTTTGGGATTTAAAAGAAATTATACAAAAATATATAGGTTAAAATGAAGAATTTTTTTTTCCTTTTTAGTAAACGATGGTACCGAGTTCGGTACTCCCATTATATCAAGAAATTTTCTTAAGTGAGACTATCTATGGGCCCCATATCCCACTGGGCATTGGCTCTTACCATCCTCAACAATGGAAATATTTAATATGGTCTAGGATCACTGAATCTTTTGGAGCTCCCTCTCACATCATTAATTTTTTCTTTTCTTTTTTACCCCTATTATTTTTTTTCTTTTTCAATTTTACCCTTCTATTTATATTAAGGGGCCACCTAAAAAATAGTAGTCCCGTTCAGAATAAATTATCTCCTCAACAATGTCGCCAAAGTGGTCCCCAAACCCTCCCAAATTAAGACCTCTCTCCTATGTATAAAGTTTTGTCAGAATGAAGTCAATCAACTGTGACTTTTGGACACAACTGTTTTTTAGCATAACCATAGTTCAATCACCCGGAGACACATCCCCAAGATTTTCTTCTTTCTGTCGTCTTTGCCATGTTTCTGGCAATCTGTAACGTTATTTACGTTACATAACCCCCCACCCCTAAAAAAAATAAAAAATTCCTCTTTAACCAAAAGTGCAAATTTATCTCAAATCACTACCTATCTACGTTAACTTGTTAAGATGAAAATTTGACAAACTAATGATATATAACTGCAGCTACTTTTTGTTGGGGTGTCATTATCGTAGTTACTTTCATAATACTGAGCAGATTAATGGACGTAGTAGGATGCAAAGTACCCGACAGACCGTCTATTCCGACAATTAGATCCTTAATGCCGGGTCAATTATCATTTGACAGACCACAAATTAAAGCAATATATATGTATGAATATGATGTATATAAAGAGAAAAGCAAATAATTGTTAGAACGTTAGGGAGGAATAAATCTTTGGTGCTACTGTTGCACTTAGATTCGGTGCATCTCACCAATAGAAGTATTATACATCAGAGAAGAGAAAAAAAATTTGACACAGGAAAGAAATTTTTGGCTGACATGTAATATTTTTATTGATAGGATGTACTGAATTTTTGATGCAACAGTAGCACCAAAAATTTATTCGTCAGGGAGAGTCCAAAACCTTTTTTTACAAATGATCAAATGACAAATCATACTTGATTTCTATTTCCAAGAATAAAATTATATGGCTATACTCATAATTAGCGTCTAATAAATAAGACTGTCTATTGATGATAAGTTTTGGATCTCCATCCATACTAATTTACTTACATATTACTCCAGCCTTCAATAACCCATGAAAAGACTTCATTTTCAGACTTTATTCAATTAGAAACTTCTTATCATGCTGTTCACGACGATTGGATTGAAGGCAAAGTCGATGTCGGTCGTATATCCATACATGAACGTCGGCTACGGCTAGCCATGAGAACAAGAACAAACAAGTTTTTTTTTTTTTTTTTTTGAAATATTTCAATCGGTTTATCTCTTCGTGACTAGTCCAATTCAGGGCGAGTCTAGGATTAAGGCTCTAAACTCCTCCCAAATGTGATACTGAGAAGGATCGAATACATACTCTCACTCTCAGCATGCTCAGCTCTCATCCGATAACTGAACTATTACTATTTGGTAAGAACAACCAAGCTGATTAATTAAGCTTGTAATAAGTCTCAATGTCATTTTAGTGTTTTATTAAACAACGTGTAGATTTAGTATTTCATTATAGATGTTGTCTCTGGTAAAGATGATTGCATTATAAAGTAGTAATGATGATTCAGCTTTCAGATTTGGACGTGTCATACAAACGAACCATAAGAAATGGAAAAAGAAGACTCCAGGGAATATATATGTACACATGGCCAACTACAAATCAAATTAGAGGGAAGTCTTATACTTTGCATATATGCAGGTTATAGTCTTTTAGATGTTGATTAAATTGGGAATCTTTCAATCTTCGTTCTCAAGCTTAGCTTTTGCCGTAAACAATACTGACTGAGTCTTATCTTTTTTGTTTCACCATATAAGAGGAAGACACTTTGACATGTGTCAAGCTAATGCATGTTGCTTAATGTTTAGTTGCGTAAAAGTCAGAGGAATGGTTTGGATGCACTTTTCATACCTTTGTACGCACTTTTCATCCCTTGTGACATTGGTTTGATTAGTGTCGAGATATATAGTCCCACATTGGTTGGTTGTATGTGCAATTAATATGAAATTTATAAGGCCTCGGGCACTCCCACCCTTTGAGCTAGCTTTTGGGATGGTGTATCATAAGGTTCTTTACATGGTATCAGAGTCTCGCCGCTCCCACTTTCTCTCGTGGAATTTCTTAGCACAGGTAGGCTGGGCCTGTTATATCATCCACTCTTCAAGTCCAATGGGCTCTCGTGTGAGGGGGCGTGTTGAGAGTTTCACATTGGTTGTATGTGCAACTAATGTAAAGTTTATAAGGCCTTAGGCACTCCCACCATTTGAGCTAGCTTTTGAGATGGTGTATCCCAAATTTTTTTACAATTATGAAACATTTCCGGTGTTTGTTTGACGGCAAAACTGTGATTGTTCGTGTCACATCACATATTAATAAAAGATTGCTTTTTTGAAGCAGTTTTCTCTTCTTTTTCATCTATTTTCTTCGGTTTTAGCATCTGACAGTCACTGTTGCAGCAAAGTACTGTGTTATATAATAAGGACTTGGAAGGCTTTTTTACATAATTGATAATTAGGGACTCCGAAGGATGATTTTGATA